TCCCAGGACCCTGGGATCATGACCTGAGCCGAAGGCAGACGCTTAACCGACTGAGCCACCCAGGCGTCCCTTGACTGTCAGTTGTATCGAATCTATTGGCTAAGCAAAAATGAAATCCTAATGTGGGTTCCAATATTAAGGATATGGTATATATAAGAATTGTGGGCAATGGTGACATCAGAAATTTGCCCTGAAATACTCATGACAGTTACTAAAGATAGGAGATTGAACGGTTTTTGTTTCATTTCTAGTGTGAAAAGGGTTAGAGTTGGAAAAAGAATGTCTTGTAAGCAATAATGCATCAGGTTTAGTTGTAAAGTTTATATTTTGGCATGATACCACTGAGTCAGCTTCTGACTGTTTAGGTCTATACCTAAACTAGAACTAGCTTTGAGAATTCTCTAACTCATTTTTTCTCTTCCAGCTACATTTTCTTGTGTGTTTCAGAATGAAGAACCTTCCCTTCTACCCTCAAGTTCTCTGTCTAAACATCTTCCTAGTAAATCTTCCATTTGTACCAAAGTATGAGTAGAACTCCTTGAATACCTGTCTCCTTTCCACCTCCTGAACCTTGGGTACTGCTTTATGGTCTATCTTCCTTTGATATCAAGTTAGATCATTTTATTAGTCCCGTTCTTTCGACTGGGAACTATTTCTGTTTCCATAATAGCATGGGGCAGTAGGGTAGGAGGCATGCAAGGCAGGCTGGTGCCCCAGTCACAGCTAAAGTAGGCCTACCTCGAGCTAGAACACGGGCTGGGTTTCTATATAGAATCACCAAATGGTGGCTTTGGATGGACACTGAGGTCAGGGTACTGGACAAATAAGCGTCCAGGATGGAAGAAGTGATGAAGATGAAGACAGAGAGTTAAGGTGGTGGGGAGATAGGCTTAGTTTGGACTCAAGGATGTGAGGAAGAAGAGGTCAGCTACAAACAGAAGAAGCTGCACGTGACTATCACTGTGTTCTGAATTCAAAACCAGAAACACCTGTAACAATGCAACTGAGTGGGGGGAGGGGCACAGAGAGAGGGAGAGAGACTCTCAAGCTGATTCCCTCCCCTCCCCCCAGCTGAGCGAGGAGCCTGTCATGGGGCTCTGTCTCATGACCCCAAGATCATGACCTGATCCGAAATCAAGGGTAAGATGCTTAACCGCCTGAGCCTGGCCTGAGCCACCGAGGTGCCCCTCAAAACAGATTTTTAAAAAGACTTGTGAAGGCTGTGGCTTGGCTTATAATGAAGCCAAGTTAATTATTTTCTTATGTCTCAGGCCTAATTAACCCAGGGCCAGGACTCGGCCAAAAACACTTGACCCCCAACACTGGCAACGTCTCTCAAAAGGCTCTGTTTAAATCAAGACGGATCTCTTTCTGTTATTTCAAAGCACATGTTCTTTTGGCAGAGGGTTAGTAATCTCATGCTGTCTTAGAAAATCCACAACATTACTGGAGGATTTACTCTGAGCTAGTGTGTGAGCTTCATAGGATTTGATTTTTAAATGCTAAATACTTAAAAATACACGTTTTACTTCTTCTGTCTGAGATGAGGCTTTTAAGGAGTAATAGACCCCACAATAAAAGCCAGTGAGGTTCCTGTTGTCAATAAAAAAGGGATTTGCGTGAAGTGCTGCTTTTTCTTAAGAAGCACTTTTGTAGAGCATCACTTAGCAACACACAAATCAGCTTTGACACCTTATTCATCTTTAATATTCAGGTTCAAATCAAGTCTTTCCAGTGATGGGACAGATGGAGTCTTTGAAACCAAGCAAGCGAAAGGTGTCACTTTGTAATTTCCATCTTTAGGTTGGCAGCCCTATCAGAGTTTTCATTTTATAACATTTTGGAATCGGGGTTTTTTTTTCAATTCTCAGATCTAAATTCCTTAGCATGTCGTGTAGGGTCCATCATGGGCTGGTTGCTGCTTCTGTCATAACCTCTGCTGCAGCCAAATCAAACAGCCCAGTTTCCCAAACGTGCTGGGTTCTTTGATAGCACTATTCCTTCAAGCCCATGTTGTTTCTTTGTTTTGGGAAAACTCTTTGCTGGCTAAGTTCTGCTAATCTTTCTAGATAATTTTGAATTCTCAGGGACCTTATCTCTGATTCTTTCAGGTTGAGTTAAGGGCAGATCTAGGTCATAGGGCCATTGGATTTTAGTTGTTCGTTTTTCTTATATGTAACTGGGAACTTTTGAGGGACAGGAATTCTGTCTTTTATCTGTATATCCCTATCCTTTCCGTATGTTTCATTTATCTGAATTTCTTACTATCTGTGGCAGAGGTGAGTCTTCTCTCCCTGTGAAATAGTAGTTCTTTATTACTGATTTTTTGACCAGAAGCTCAAGGTAGTCATTTATGAATTTAACAGTTATCTTTTGAATTGTTCATACTGTGTCAAGGACTATGCTGTTTGTTTATTACTATTTTGGAAGGATATAAGAGTCAGCCGTCAGAGAAAGAGTTATACTGGGTGTAGCATTAAGTGGAAAAAATCTGGAGGAATAAAAAATTAAAGCAAGGATTTCTGAAAATGCAAGGTAGCAGGGAGGCTATACCATGGTTTTATGAAGGTTTTCACAAAGGAAGCAAAATTTAAGAGTTTCTTTATGAATACATTTTTTGGTTGGTATAGAAAAATTGAAAGTGACTCAGTGATTAGGGTAACCCCATTGATTTATATATCTTAAGCTCAGAAAATATTCCTCAGTGGTTTGCTTCCAAAAAGTACCTTCTGCCATAATAGAAGGCAGATACTGCCACACTCCCTAGTGAACTGGTGTGTGTAGATTTCTGGAGTCTTTATTCATATCTTTAAAATTTCACTGGTTTTTGTTTTAAAATTTAATCCGTTTAACATGCTGGAAATTTCTTAAAATAATTTAAATGAATTCCAATTTTAGAACAATGCTTGAAGTGTTAAGTTAGTCTTATATGTGGACAACATATTTTATATCTAGAACCTCTATACTATATGTCTTAAAATAGGACCTAAAGGTATTCCTTTTTCCTTTTGTTTTATTTGGAAAATACTGAATTTTTGGAAACAAAATTTGTTTTGTTTTATTTGGAAAATACTGAAAAGTGAGCAAAAAGAAAAAAACACCTCTTATTTGAAAGTGGAGTAGGATATTATATTTAAAAAAAAAGAAAGCCTCCCAACCATCTAGTCTCATCCCAAACTGTTAATCTTTGGGCACTTAGTAAATTGACTTCTTTCAAAGGTATTTATAAATACTGTTGTTAAAACAATGCAGTGATACGCTGTCTGCTATCTTTTATGAAAGCAACTTTAAAGGTTCCTTTCCATACTAAAGCTAGCTTTGTTCTGCTTTGATCTATCTGTCTGTCTGTCTATCTATCTATCTATCTATCTATCTATCTATCTATCTATCATCTATCACTTTTTTTTTTTACAAAAGCACATGAGGCACATTGTTTTAAAAAAGTCAAACAGCTAGACATGTAATAGAAAGTGAAAGTTTCCTTTTGTTGTTGGGAGTAACTGGTCAATATGTTGCTGTATGTTCTAGATAACTGAACTTCCAGTTAAATTACAACTTCTTTTTATACAAAAAATGGGATCGTACTTTCCACTCTGTCACTTATATTTTTCATTCACGAACGCTTTATTTCATAGCTGCTCTTCTTTATTACTACATGGAGGTCCATCCCAAGCTTTTTTCTGGCTGTATAATATTTCACGGGATGGATCTACTGTTAATAAGCTGGTTGTCCATTAGGTATCTCCAGTAGTTTTTTTATTACAAATAATGCTGAAATAAGCATTTTTGTATCTTGTATACAGGTATGTATCTATAGGGTGATACCCAGGTAGATACACTTGGTTGGAGGCATTGCACATGTAAAATTTCGCTGTATAATGTAAAAGTTAATCTTTTCTTCAAGACTCTCAACAGTATTTAATCATAAATAAAAGTTCTGATTTGAGAGTAAACTCTTTTAAAAAGGAAAGGTGGATTCCTTTCTTGAGGGTCTAATGAGACAGTACAGTTCAGGGAGGATTTTTTGTCATTGTTTTTCTCCTCGTGTTTTAGCCTGAATTTTATTTGGAATCTTTGAGAGAAAATACCCCTTGGTCTTTCTATTGCCTCAGAAAATAAATCTGTGTTCTTATTGGTAGCACTTCCTTGATAATGCTGTTATTTCCCTGGACGTTGATATTCCTTATGATGAGCCACAATTTTAGCTTAATTCTATTCTGTCCAGTATGACATAGAATAGAATGAAAACTATCTGATGGGTAATTTATCTTAAAAGAAATGCAGGAAGGTGACTCTAACAATAAAAATTTTAAGCCCAGACTGTCATTTTGTTTACATATCTTAAATTCTTTTCCTGCAACCTTGAAAACAGTTAAAATTGTGTCTTATTGAATAAAAGAAAACTTACAGATGAAGCACATTTTCTGGTTCTTAAAGGATAATCTAATTGAGGCTCTATATACCTTGCTTTTAGGTGGTAAGAGTAGGTTTCTAAAGTTTTGTGTTTTTTCATGCTGCCACACACAATTATGGATTTGGTAGTCTTTTAGGTACTCTCTCTGTTTGATTCAAGTTTCTTCACCTACTTCTTTGAGTCCAGTTCACTCCAGCTGTTTTTATAGACATATCAAATTGCTATTTGAGAAATACCTTACAGATTTCAAATTCATATGTAAAAGACAAATGGGCTCACGGTCTTTTTTGTTGCTGTTGTTGTAAGCATCTAAGAACCTCAATAGGCAACTCATGTATAGTTATATAAACATATATTGGAAGATAGGTATTTGTGTTTCACATAGAACTTTAATATAATTTATCTAATTTAATTCATATAACTTAAACTTTAAGGAAATGACTTTTAAAAACAATTCTCAGATTTCATAGTCTTTCTGACTTGTAAAGGTTTATCTGCTAATCTCTTTATCTATAAGATATTATATTTCTGAGGAGATGATAGTAATTTATTTTACAGATTATTTTGTTTTCTCTCCTTTTTACAGAAAACAGGCATCGTTATGGGTCCAAGGAGACATTTTCCGATCCAAGCTGAAAAATAGACCATCCAGTGAAGGAAGTATTAATAAAATTCTTTCTAGCTTGGATGATATGTCTATTGGTGGAAACTTATCTAAAATACAAAACGTGGAAAGATTTGGAGAGGTGAGTTTTCCTCAGGAAGATTTTCATGTCTCCTTAGGACTAACGTTCTGCATTTCTTTGTTTCCCAGCTGAACATTTGTAACACAGCAATATCTATTTTCTGAGATGCTGAGAGTACCAATATTTTTAGGTGTAGAATCATCCACCTGTAAAACAAGAATCCATAGCAAAGAAAGCAATTATCGTTAAAAAAAAAAAAAGCTGTAATTTAAGGAGCACAATTATAAAGGAGACCACTCTGGTTTGTAGACTATGTACAAAAAGGAAATAGAAGAGCATATTTTCTATTTGAAGATGAAAGTGGATGTAAAGAAGAAAGAATTAATGTGACTATTGAAGAAACAGTACATGCCACAAGTGGTTTTTTGAAAGTCTCAAATTCATATTGATTTCTAAAGTCCAGAATTGAAAACATAATTAGGGGCAACTTTTTTTTTTTTTTTGAATTGAGGCTCTAAACAAACCACATTAAACGGCTGACATCTATGGTCTCATTTAGTCTTTACAACTAGCTGGTGATAGGTAATATCAGCAATATTACCCAGGCAATATGATCTCTACTTTATAGTAAGGAAATTGAATGTCAGGGAAGTTCTAACCTTGGTGATTCTAATCCACATCCATCTGATTCTGAATCTGTGTTTTTTCTGTTATACCCTGCTAACCTAAAAATGGAAGTGACTTACAACAGGTAGGATCATGGGCATTTTTGGAGCTGGAAGCAAGCTTGAAATCATTTGTTCTCCTTCCCTCTCGTGTGGATCAGAAGCCGGGGGCCCCACTGAATCCCATGACTCGCTAAAGGTCATGGCGTTGTTTAGTAGTGGGACTACCTTGAGACTGGGAATCTCCCTCCTGGTTTAGCTCTTTCTACCACAGTATGCCTGAGGTGAAACTAAGCACTTGGTGTGTAGTTATATTTTTATATCCCTGAAGGAGCAAAAGGAGCTGTTAAAAATATTTAAGCAATGGGGAGGCTGGGTGGCTCAGTCAGTTAAGTGTCCGACTCTTGGTTTCAGCTCAGGTCATGATCTAGGGGTTGTGGGATGGAGCCCCATGTCAGGCTCCCTGCTCAGTGGGGAGTCTGCTTGAGATTCTCTTCCTCTCCCTTTGCCTCTCCCCCAACTCAAATAAATAAATAAATCTTAAAAAAATATTTAGGCAGCGAGTGTGGATTTGCATTCTATTAGGCGGTGACCCGTTGGACCTGGACAAGGGTCTTGAGCAAAATACTGTGGTTCACGTTTGACCCTCAGGGAACCCAAAATGGAACAAGTGGCATGCCAAACAGGTTTCTTTCACCAAGAAAGATAACCAGAGTGCTTGGCAATAGGGAGAGTGGGCTTTCTTCAAGGACACAGGATGAAGACTGCCATAAGAACCAGTTTTTCAACCCTGTGGTCTCTACTCCAGCACAGCCTCTGAAGAAGTGGCTAAGTTTACTTGTGTGAATCATTTGTCCTGACAAAATGTAAATCTTAGCCAAGGTCATGTTGATGTTCAGAGCCTTTGTTGACTTTTTCTTGTCTCTGTGTTGTAGTCTGGCCTATTCAAAGCAAACAAAAGGATCTGAACTGACATTTTAATGTGATAATATAGCTAAGCAAGAGTACTTTTCTTGCTCTGGTCAGCATTTCCTTCTCACATTTTGTTCAAGTAAACAGTGCTTTGAATTATGACCTCTGAAAAGATACACATACAATTTATCCATCTCTCTGGAAAACATTTATCTTATAGAAATATAATGTTTTCTATATCATAATCCATGTTAAACGAGCATCTGGTAGTTAGAACATTTTGTTCTCATACTTTTTTAGATCTCAATTTGTTGAACTTAAGACTAATTAACATTTATCACTGAAGAATGAAATATGAAATTTAAAATAAGTCAGTTTTAAATACAAGCATGTATTCAGATATTGGGCTATTTCTCTTCCTCTTTCTTATTCCCTGCACCGCCAAATTAATTACTTTAGCTCTAGCCACTCAGAAGTGGTATGATTTTTGAAATTAGAGCACAGAAGTGCAAGAATTCAGAAATAACACAGAACGATGGCGTGGTTAAGACTTCAGACGGTGACATATATATAGGTTTTGGACTACTTTATAGTTAGGTGATGCGTTGAGTAAATAACACTTTTAGTCCCTTTTCTTGCTGTGTTTATCTGGTGCTGGCTCCAGAACGTTACATGAATATGGGGAAATTAGTTTACTCAAAAGTGAATGTAATAGAGGTAGTGATATCTTTGTCGTTCTTGTGAATTCTAAGTGGGAAAATAAGTTGAGAATGCTGCAAGGATTTTAATATGTTTCAAGTTCCATACCAATGTTCAGGATAGAAGCCCATGGAAGTTCTGGGTTTATTAGTTTGTACATAAAGGAAGTGCAAAAAGGCACTATTCTTCTAGAGGTTGCTTCTTTTTTTTTTTCTTTTTAGAAGTAATGTCAGATTGAAAATGAGATACTAAATTATTTTTCTGATTTCTAGGCCTACAGGGATTTTCCTGGGGTTGGTTATTCGGAAGCTCTGTAATTACTTGATTGGGAAGGTTTGAATATATAGTTTTTCAGTGCCCAGGAAGTGAGTGAATAGGCAAAAAAAGATTAACCAGAAGGATTCAGGCCACATTAATGGACTAGGCTGCAGCTGTAATGAATTCTCTTCGCCTACTTAGAGTCATGAAAAATCTTTTATAAATAGAGGCTTTATCTTGACTGAAGCTGGTCTTCAGTGCTAGGCTAGGCACTATGAAATATACCCAGCCCATCCTGTGGGTCTAGGTTAGGCTTGCTGCTTTGTGCTCCTGCCTTGCACTGTATTTTTCCTCCATGGTCCTTAACACCTCCTTCCCTGCCCGGCAATACACGCTGTGAAGATCGAGGCTTCTATCTGCCCTCGTCGTGAGCCTATTCCTAGCCCACAGGGCCTTCGTAAATGTTGCTTGAAAGAATGGAGAAGGCTTACGAAGGAGCCTGGAGCTTGAAAGAATGGAGAAGGCTTTTAATAGAAAAACAAACAAGAAAACAGACATGAAATTGGTAATAATCCAAGCTATTCAAGAGTAGTCTGTGCTCAAATACAAAATGGTACCAGCAATAAGTGCTCACTCAGACATGCCAGGGCCTAAGGGTCCATCATGCATTGGGGTTATAAAAAATGGCTTTAAGAAGATGGAATTTAAAATTAACACTTTATTTAAGGGGCCGATACTTAAGGAGTTAAGTGAGGAGCTTAGAATGTAACAACCACCTAAATAGCATCTACTAGGTGCTAGGCACTGTTCTAGGTGCTTTACAAGGATTAACTTTTTTTTTTTTTAAGATTTCATTCATTCATTTGAGAGAGAGAAAGCATGAGCAGGGAGGCGGGGTGGGAGCAGCAGAGGGAGATGAAGAGGCAGACTCCCTGATGAGTTGGGAGCCCGATGCGGGGCTCGATCCCAGGACCCCGAGATCATGACATGAGCTGAAGGCAGATGCTTAACCGACTGAGCCACCCAGGTGCCCCTACATGGATTAACTCTTAGTTCTTATAACAGCTGTATGAAATAGGCACTGTTACTAGGCCCTTTTTAACAGATGGCATAACCGAGATAGAGAAAGTTAAACTGCTTGCCCAAGATCACAAAGTATGCAGTGGCGCTGGCAATTAGACGCAGGCGCTCTGGCTTTGGAGTCTCCTCTCAGCCACCCACTTTGAGGCCTCGCTCCATACCCTGTTGCCTCTCCATGAGGTCCTAAGTGTGGCTTTAGTATATTACATCAGTAAGTTTGAACATAACCTTAGCCAGCCTGTCCCAATAAATTTCTCCTGGAACTGTGATTGTTGTTAACTTTTCCTTCTCCAGGGTGATAATCCAATATTAGCACACCTATCGATCAGATGCTCTTGACTTAGAGATATGAATTAGGTACAGGTGCTGCTCCTATTCAGCCAAGTTCACATAAATTGACAGGTAAATAAGAATTTAGTGTTTTAGGGGCGCCTGGGTGGCTCAGATGGTTAAGCGTCTGCCTTCGGCTCAGGTCATGATCCCAGGGTCCTGGGATCGAGCCCCACATCGGGCTCCCTGCTCGGTGGGGAGCCTGCTTCTCCCTCTCCCTCTGCCTCTCTCCCTGCTCATGCTCTCTCTCTCTCTCTCTCTGTATCTCTGTGTCTCAAATGAATAAATAAAATCTTTAAAAAAAAGTATTTAGTGTTTTAATTAATTAATTAATTTTTAAAGATTTTATTTTTAAGCAATCTCTACACCCAACATGGGTTCAAACCCATAACCCAGAGATTGAGTCACATGCTCCACCGACTGAGCCAGCCAGGTGCTCCAAGAATGTACTGTTTTAATTACATCATGGAGATACTGTGATTTATAAAATCCTTTGCTCTTTTACATCAAATGCCCAAGTACAGGGTGCATCTTAGAAAAAAATCCATGAAGTAAGAAATTAACTCTCTAAGACCCTACTTTCAAGCAGTATTCTTTCTACTCTTGGGACCACTATGGCATTCCAGTTCCAATCTGAATGCCACTGGGATCCGGGAGAGGCTCTAGGACAGGAGAGTGACAATACAACACAGAGCCAGGGTTTGGGGAGACTGCTCTGGTTGTGAGGGAAAGGGGTGCTGGGGTCTGTGTTCGGCCAGGGGTGGGAGGCCAGGAAGTTGGTGATGGGGGAGTGGTCCCAGGTGATAAAGGTCTCAACCAGTGGCAGTAAGGAAGGAGAGAAGACGGACTTGGGGACCCAGATAAATACAAACTTTTTATGATCAGAAGCAACTTGTTATGAAGATGACATCTTTGCCTTTCCCCAGCTTTTATACCTCACAGTTTCAGCATCTGAGAGCTGAAAGAATTTTGGAGATGACCCAGCCACCTTTCCTAGCCAAATCACTTAAACCTGCTAAAAATCCATTATCATCTTTCTCTTCCAATCCTCTCACTTCTATTTTTACTCATTTCTATTTCAAACTCTCTTTTTATGTCATTTTTCTATTATAACTCTTCCATCTTTTTTCCCTAGTGTGCTATATTTTATCTAATAGATTTTTTTTCTTAATGGCACACACCGCAGCCTCCCCAGTAGCTCACTCTGTCACCATTTGATTAATGCGTTGGTCAGTTATTACTCTATCCAACTGAAACCTATGAGTGCCTTTTATTTTCATTTTCATCTTGTCTATATTTAGAGAACAACCAATGGCATAAAATAAATCTTTCTACTTTGCAACTATTATTTGTTCCTTAGCTAGACCATCATCTGTAAATAAGTACATCTTTTGAAATGGTCCTTCTTTATGTATTTTAGTTTGCTCTCATTTTCCTGCCTTTATGTAGGGCAGGCTGGGTTTAATAAATATATTTATTAATATATATTTAAATAAATATACATATATATTTATAGATATATTTTTTTTCTTTAGAAAAGACATGGCTTCCTTGTCTCAGAGGTTGAGAGCCGAGACTTAATAAATAATGTTTTCTTTTTCTTTGAGAGCTAGGGTATTTAAGTAAATTCCTTAAGAGAAAGAGCTTAAATAGAAAATATATTGAATCTGGCTAGTTAGGTGCATGGCTCTCTGTTGCAGTGTTTTTGTTGTTTTCTACATTTGAAATGCATTACATTTAAAAGATTTCACCTTTAAGATACATAATAAAGTGGGAGGGAAAATACTTGTGACATAACTATATGTAAAATATTAGCAATTTTTTTGTTTAATTGTGTATCTTGTTAAATTATTATTTATTTTTTCAAGTAATATGTGACCACACTTTTAGAAATGTCAGAAAGTACTGAATTCTAATAAAAAATATCAGTCCCCTATCCCACCTTTCTGTACTCCAAGACCAAGTCCCAAACGGAGGAACCCCTAAGCAAATTATATCAGCATTTTCACTACCATTATTTCTACACATCAATGTCTTGCTTATAATGCTATTTAAAACGGTTTATTGGTTTTGGACATTTTTTGATTGCCTTCTGGTTGTGGTAAACAGGATTTTAGCTCTCCCCCGCCCCCGCCCAGGTGTTACTCCTACTCCCCCGTGCTTCCCCATATGGCTACATCATAATTTTTTGTTAAACCCAAAAATACGTACATTATTACTATGTAAGGACTGTTCACTCTTGAGCATGGTAGTCTACTCTGAAGTACAGTTGACACAATGTTATATGAGTTCAGGTGTGAGTTAATTGCCTTTTTATTTGCATAGTTTTCTGTGTACTTGGGAAAACTTAAGGCTACTCTCTCCTCCCCGCAATTATGCCAAGCAATTTAAAATTTATTCAAAATCTTAACACAGCAAAAAATTTTTACCAAGTTCATTCTTTTCCCAAAGAGTCTTCTCCTCTCCACCCTGGACTGGTTGTTCTTTAGCCTTACTGTATAGTTCTGACCCAAGGCCTTCTTTTCACCCTCTTCAGTTGGAGTCCTAATTTTCCTGGATTTCCTCTTGTCTTCTTAACTTTTCCCTGACGTACATCCTGTAATAGTTTTCTCAGAGAGATTGTGTGGGAGGTGAATTTTTTTTATCTTTGTTTTACCTTTACGTTTGACTGTTGGGTTGAATTTTGGAATTCCAGGTTGAGGCTCACTTTTCCTTAGAATTTTGAAGGTGTTTCAGAGCTGGGAACACAAAGATCCTCCTGGTTGGAAGGACAAACAAGCTTTCCTGGCTTTCCCACAAAGGTGCCCATTAGACAATGAACCTGACCAATAAGGGTGAGGATCCTGTCAGGTCCTTCAAGAAGCCAGTCCCATATTCTAGAGACTCTGGCTGTGTGCTGGTCCTTCCATCAGGTACAAGTAACTGGTATCAGGTACAAGTAACTGGTAACAACACCCATGTTGATTGCTGGGTGAAGCTAAGCCCACCTCCTCAGGTGTACCATCCTGTTAGCAAGCCTAACCTTCAGACCTACCTTATTTCTATTCCTCCAGGCTTCCTTGGGTGATAATGGATTCATTCCCACTGGGGTTGCATGGGCAGAGATGAATGATATAACCAATTCCTGGAGACTTTATAGATGGGCAACTTATGACTTTAAGAGAATCCTCTGACTTTAAGGTTCCATGAACCTGTGACTGTTGAACTGGTGTTCTTTGCCAGGATGACCCTTCCTGTGATCTTGGCTGCTTCTCTCCACACTCATTCTTTAAGACTCAGTTAAGGGATTCCCTCCTCTAGGAAGCTTTCATCTTCATTTCTTCTTCTTTCCTACCAGCTGTGTGCTTTGTGTGTCTATTTTTCTTTTTTAAACTCAGAGTTATAGTAGTAAGGTGTGGTCTTTTTACCCAGGACATGTCTACTGACCCCAGATGTATCCTTGCAACCCAACTTAGGTGGCAGGGAGTAAAGAAGTGTTTTGAGCCAGGAATGGCTATCAGAAATGACTAGAATGTGACTGAGGGAAGTATGTTTTTGTATATCCTTCATCAAATAAGAGCTCTAGATTTAAAGAGTGGAGGGGACTTTTATGGCTGCAAGGAATCTTAGCAAATTCAAGGTGTATGAATTATTAAGGGGAGGAAATGGGCAAAATAAAATCTTTACTGGTGCAGTGTTAGCGTACCATTGTATCTGGGGTCAAGAAATCTGATTTTAAAATCATTGCTGTCATGGGGCGCCTGGGTGGCTCAGTTGGTTAAGCGACTGCCTTCGGCTCAGGTCATGATCCTGGAGTCCCTGGATCGAGTCCCGCATCGGGCTCCCTGCTCGGCAGGGAGTCTGCTTCTCCCTCTGACCCTCCCCCCTCTCATGTGCTCTCTCTCATTCTCTCTCAAATAAATAAATAAAATCTTTAAAAAAAAATTAATCATGACAGGGGCGCCTGGGTGGCTCAGTCGTTAAGCGTCTGCCTTCGGCTCAGGTCATGATCCTGGAGTCCCGGGATCAAGTCCTGCATCGGGCTCCCTGCTCAGCGGGGAGTCTGCTTCTCCCTCTGACCCTCTTCCCTCTCATGCTCTCTGTCTCTCATTCTCTCTCTCGCAAATAAATAAAAAAAAATCTTAAAAAAAAATTAAAATCATTGCTGTCATGAAGAGCTTCAGGGAGCTTGGGTAATATTCTTAACTTCTGTGAGCACCTCCTTTTTTTTCATCTTTATGGGTAACAGTGTCCTCCCTGCCCTGAATTGTAAGAATTAAATGTGAACTAGCATGTGAAAAGACCTTGTGTGGTACTTCTGTTTTTTAGTCTATAAGACTTATGTCAGCAGGAAACACTTTCTCAATCTAGTAAACTTTAACTCCTTCTGGAAAGGTCTTGAGTGTTTTTACTAGTGTTAGTTGATCCTAGTAAGTTATCATCTAGATATCCTAAATTGTTTTGTCTTTCATTTCTGTAAACAAGTTATAAAATTGATAGTGATTGATCCTAGTAGTTTCTGGAAACATATTTGTAATGTATCTATTGAGCCAGCCTGTATCTGAGCTATATTCCAAAGCATGATTTTGTCTGCGTGAGAGTCTCTTTGGTTGTGGTCCCTTGTAATAAAGAGCTCTTTTTAAATTCTACCACATCCATACCCATGCTTTGATTTAGAGGTGATTTGACCAGTATATTTAATTGATAAATAGTTGAACATTCTCTAGTATATATATAGACAATGCTGAATTCATAGAGCATTAAAGCTATTTAAGATAATCTATGTTAAGACAATCTATATAAATAGTTTATGGTCTCTTAAGAAAGCTATATAAAGCAAAATTATTCATAATAACCTTTCTATGGAACATGCATTTTTTTTCCAGAATAATTTAGAAGAGGATGAAGATGTGGAAATGAAAAATAGTATAACCCAGGGAGACAAACTACGTGCCTTAAAAAGTCAGAGACAGCCACGCTCCTCACCATCCTGTGCATTTAGGTAGATCCATTTTAAACTTCTGAATTTATATTTTGCCTCCATTTGTGGATAGAATATTTAATCTTCTCTTTTGCATATCATTCTACAAGTGCCATGTTTACCTCTTGTTTTTTGGTTTATTACTATTTTGTGTTGTTTATTATTTTGTCACTATAGAGAGCAGCTAAGTTTTAGAAGCTTACAGAAAGCAGCTCCTGCAATCTCAGTCTCTGGAAATCCTACCTTAAACTGCTATGACATTGGGTGTCTCTGGGACTGTGTTCAAAATTCCTTTTGGAATTCTACTCTTCCCCCATGAGTGGATGTCCTATCTTGTGGCAAATCCTCACAGCTGTACTGAGGCTTTTGTTTTGAATCTAGAGTGTGTAGAAAAGTATTGAATGCCAAGCTTTGGTATATCCTAACTCCTTAGTTTTATGTTCTATATTTGAGAATTGAATAAACAATTCTTAACCTGTGTCTGTAAAGTTTGAAGTCTAAAATTACTAATCAGAATCAATTGATGGAACCTGACTTGTGATCATAACATTTAAAACCTGCTAATGGTTCAGATTAGTTAAAAAAGAAAGTCTTTAGGATCAATGTAGGTACAAAAATCTGTGAATATCTTCCAGATTCTTTACTGTAATATATGGGGTGGTGACAAGTTCATAAATGATTATAATAGGAAATGGCTGCTTTTCTTTGCCTTTTAAGTGAGAGACATGCACAGCGAGAGGGGTGTTTTGCCAGCATGACACATGTCAAACAGCCTCACAGAGAGTTTAATTTTCATGTGTTATCTGGGAGGATTATAACACAAGTCAGATTAAGTCTGAACACATCATTACCTATGCTTTGAGTACTGGTTCCTTGACCTGGGGGATGAAGGTTTATGTGGCTCAAATTCAAGCTGATCGTTTTCCACAGTAATGTGAGAAGATGGGATAGCAAGCCTCGTGCTTAGTAGTAACCGCCAACTACCACTAGAAAATTGAAGCGACGTATCATTCACTGAGCAGCATGTTAGGTGTTTAGTTTGGTTATGAAGATTAACTGAATTAACACAAAAGGTATGCATCATTACCCACATTTGGGTTGGTTGCTTGAGGTTAGGGAGGTTAAATCCCTCCCCAGTGGGATGGAGTTGGAATAGAGCTGATATTCACACCCAGTACTGTTCAATCTGTGCTCTGCCCGCTATGGATATCATCTAAGTCAGTGGAAGGTTCTTCAAGATTACTAATCTCTTTTTTCGCCATTTTTCCCCTTGAAACTCTTAAGAAAGGCTTTATATTGCTTAAAATTAATTTCCAACAGATTTAGATTTGATTTTGAAGAAATCATAAGGGGGAGGGAGGGATAAATTGGCATATAGCTTGGCACATAAGTAGGCAAAAGAAGTGAGAGAACCTCCACGACACAAATTTTAGAAGGCTATTCCAATATGATTTTTCTATTTTTTTTTAATTCTTAGAAATTTTCTCATTTTTTAGAATTCAATTTTCCTAACGGCATCATGGTATCATCATTGAACGTTTTTTTTACCCTGAGTGGCTGCAACACCACCTTCTGATTTAAAGAAATTTGCTGTAAATTAAATTTAAGATGAAACAAAATGACTAAAATGGGTTTCCTGCTGGTTCTAGGATTTACTTTAGAAACGGAATGAGTACTAATATCCATTTGGGAGGTTTCTCCCTTTTGCCAATTTAATATTTTTACTGGTCTGACTCCATATGCTCTGCCTTTTGGTTTTTGCTTAAATGTATGAACCGGTGATGCGTGAGCTTTTGTCTTTGATTTCCACAGGTTGGATGATATGAAAGGGCACCCACGAGCAGTATCCCAGCCTTTCAGGTACTGTTACTGAGGTGAATTTCTAGTAGCTTGTAAATAAGTGCTCCCCTTTAGATACATTTCCCAACCCTGAAACTGGTGAAAACAAATTGCACACAGCTTTTCACTTTTTAAGCCCCTTCCTTTCTGTTCCAGATTGTTACACTACACCTTATTTTTAATGCTCACCATGAAGGGGATTTTGGTTTTCCTGAGGTGCCCGCAGGTGTGGCTGTGGTAGGGACATCAGTGTAGTCTGTGCTTCCAGCACGTTCTGGGGTCTCTAAGAAACTATGCTTGCTCAGCAATGTGCCTTTCAATCCAGTGACCGATTTTGCCTCGAGGTTTTAACATTTCTGTTTGTCCTTTTCGCCCCTAGTTTTACATATGTTCTTTATTTTCTAGTTTTATTTCCTTCCCCATCCTCCATCTGAAGAGGAAACATTAGTGTTTCTCTCTGGAAAAATGTCCTCCAAACAGTCCCGGGGTGGTTTAAAGATACTAGTGGTACCAGGGTGTAGTGTAGGGCTTGGTGAGGGCCGTGGACATGTTTGCCAAGACCGTTGATGAGATAGGGGTAGAAAGCTGATTCACCCCTCACCTCTGGTTCTTATTCAGCCCGAGGTTTTAGGGTTGTTTCGTGTGGGCAGTTCGAAGAGGGCTCAGACTTCTCCAGAAACTTGAGCTGCTTTCTTGTACCACTTTTCCCATTCGTGTTTTAGAGGCAAACCATGTACTTGAAATGTTGTTTGTGGGGAGGATGATGACGGAAAGAGTCTACAAGTAAGTAAGCTTTCTAGAGCAGATAGGAAAACAAGGTCCAGGTGCATTAAATGGTTTGTTCGAGTTAAAACAGGTTTGGTATTAAAGCCATGATTCTGCCCTGGCTGTTCAGGTTTGAGTCTGTTTTCCCTCAAACATTAATGAACATCCTCTCTGAGTCTGGCACTGGACTAGCCACTGGGAATAGAAATGAGAGACAGTCCTTTGCCCTCAGTGGAGCTTATATCAAGGGAAATAGACAAATACCAGACAGTGAAGTATGGCGTAAGGGCTATGATTTACTATGAGAATATATGACGAAACAGGATGCTTACCCTGCCTGGGAATTCAGTGAAGGCTTGCTGTATAGGGTACTAGCTGATTGGACCAGCAAAGGATAAGCAATGGGAATGAGGCAGATGGAGGTGGAGGGGAGGTAAGGAGAGGAGAAGATGCTCTGGCAAGAAAAGCAGCATATGCAAGCTGGACACAGGTGTGAATGCAGTCCATTCAGGGAACTGAGAACAGTTCGTGTCACTGGAGTAGAGGTGCCTAATGGCAAAGTGTGGGTAGAAAGGACCTGCTCACAAAGGCTAGTGCCAGAGTCTGGAGGGTTTCGTAAGTACAGCCAAGGAGCTCAGGCTTCCTGGACACTGAGGAAAGATTAAATGGTTTAAACAGTGGGGTGACATAATTAAATATTTTAGATTCCACCGGAGACTATTCAGAATTTGAATTTTAAGGAATAAGATTAAAAGAGGTTGCTAGTAGTCAAGAGGAAGGAGTAGTGATGGCCTCAGCTAGGGCAGTTGCAGAGTGGAAGGAAGAGGACAGGTTTAAAATATAAAGAAGTAGAATTAAGGACATGTGAAGAAAGAACGCTGCCATCAAAGAAGGGAAGTGACCAAGCATGGCAAGATCATGGTTAAGGACAGGACTGTGGAGCCTGGATTTGAATCCCAGCTCTGTCCCTTGCTCACTGAGTGACTTTGGATGAGGAGCTTTTTCTTTGTGGCTCCGTTTCCTCACTTGCAAAGTGGGGACTGCAATCTTAGCTGCCTCATAGGGTTGTTGTGAGGATGAGCTGACTTACCATCTATAAGGCTCTCAGAAGAGAGTCTGGCACGGAGCGAGTGCTCTGTTGATTTGACTGCTGCTACTGTCACTGTTGTCGTGACCTGCTGTGATCTCTTTAATGTTATTAGTTTACCGTGTCTTAGTTGATTGCTGGATGTTAGGATGACACAGCTCTTGTGTGACATTTTGCCCCTTTGTTTCCACAAAGATTGACTTCGGCCCCACAAGGATCTGCAACTACTTTGAAGACCTCGAAAGTGGCTTTGTCCCCTTCAGTGACGGCCAAGAGGATAAACAGGGGTTCTTTGTCCTCAGGTGCCAGTGTACGAAGGTGAATTTTCTCTACTTCTCAGATACCCGTGGGAGGTAAAGGGAGTCCGAGGCAGACAATGAGTTTGGCTGAAGTTTGTCAGAGGAGGGAACCGGGGAGTATGGGAGAAATAGCAGAAGGCTCTGTGACCCTGCGGGGCTTCTGTTCCTGTCTCACGTGGTGGGGGACAAGGCCGTGGAGGGAGTGCCAGATGGCATCCCTTTCTACAGTGAAGCTCCAGCTTGCCTAACGTGATCAGGAAATCGGAGTTCCGTGGCACATACTAATGCTATGTGGTATGGTCATTTCTCCTGCGATGGGTAGGGACGTTAGAATGAGTACATGTAAGCTAAATCTTACACTTAAGTCTACTTTTTACTCTCCCGTCATATAGCCCTTTTCCTGTACTCTCCACCTCAGGACACATAGAGCCCCCAGATGTTCTGTCTCAACATCTCCTGTCAGCGTGGTTAAGCCAGCTTCTTGGGTCTGAATTAACTGCTTAGACAGGAAGTTAATGTGTATAACTCAAGGCCCCATAGGATACTATCACCAAGAGCGATAAAGAAGCCATTCTGTTGCCATTTGCATTAATCAGAACTGTCTGCATCCCATTCCCCTCGTGTCCTAATTATGTGTTTTAGAAACATGAACTCTGCGTGAGTATACATCGTTGTCTATGTCCCCCACCCCCCCGCCCACAACCTGTGTTTTCCATTCAGCTTTTCCATAAACTCCCGGCTAGCCAGTTCTCTAGGCAACTTGAACGCTGCGACACAGGAGCCAGAGAACAAAAAGGCCTCCTCGTCCTCTAAGGCGGGTTTCATAGCCAGCCCGCTCACCAGCCTCTTGAACGGCAGCTCCCAGCCGCCTGCCAGAAATTACCCTGAGCTCAACAACAACCAGTACAGCCGAAGCAACAGCAGTGGTGGGAGCACCCTGCGCAGCCAGCCGAGCCCCCACAGCGTCCAGACCGAGGAGCACCCCACCCTCCTCCGGCCCTCCTACACCGGCCTCTCTTCTTCCTCAGCGAGATTCCTGAGCCGTTCAATCCCCGTAAGTTCGCAGACACCACCTCTTGGTCCTCAGAGCCCTGAACGCAACTTTTGTGCCTTGCCTTCCCAGCCAAGGCTGCCACCCAAGAAATTTAATAGCACCAAGGAAGCCTTCTGAGCGATGCCTTCCCTCTGTGCTGTGGAACTGTCCATGCACGTGCATTCTGCTGGCTCCTCTTCAAGTAAATGCCAAGTTTCAACTGGGGTTTCTTCCTTCCTTCTTTTTGCCCTCCTCCTCCCACTCCTTTTCAGGTGCTTTCGAAGGGAAACAGCTTTCATTCCCTTCATCATGAACACTGTTGACTCAAGTTAACTTTTCAGTTAAGTTTGCAAATCACTCTGAATATCTGGTGCCAAGCCAGGAGCTGATTCATACAGTAGACGGTATTGGCTTTGGTTGTGGTGGTTTTAGGAATCGTTGCTTTTCCACATCACATGCTAATGAATGAATTTCAGAGTATTTTTTTTAAAGATTTTTATTTATTTATTTGACAGAGAGAGACACAGTGAGCGAGGGAACACAAGCAGGGGGAGTGGGAGAGGGAGAAGCAGGCTCCCCGCTGAGCAGGGAGCCCGATGCGGGGCTCAATTCCAGGACCCTGAGATCATGACCTGAGCCGAAGGCAGACGCTTAACCGACTGAGCCACCCAGGCGCCCCCTCAGAGTATTTAAATGTGGAAGGTGCTGAATGAACAGGATCTTCTCATAACTAACCATTAGGCCCCTGAATAAGTCACCTCCTGCAGGGCACTGACCCTACAGAATTAACAACATGGCAAACGGGAGGTGTTGATAAGGAAGGCTTATAGGTCGGTATCTGGGATGTTGGGGAGGGGAAGACAGAGTATCAGGAAGATGTTTAGAATTAGCCATCACTCTTCCGGAGACAGGACGAAAGTTTGCCAAACACATTCTCCCTGTGAACTCAGTATTTAGGTTGCCAAGCTCCGCCCAACCCCAGCTTTTAATCAGAAATCCCTGTTAGGTCAAATCTGTTGGTTCACCCCCTGCTATGAATCACTTTAATCACATATTTTGATTGCCTGGAAGGGAATCGAGATCTATGGGAATGTGAGTTTTGATTTGAGAGAACAAGAACAAAATGGGAAGGAGAAATCGATCTCACAGATCAAAGAAATGTGAATCGGAGTGATTCCAGTCAGGGCACAAGCCAGCTCCAGTGTCCTGGGAGGGCTGGGACCTGGGACTCCTTCATGCTTGATATTCTTCAAACATACCCTCAGCCATTGTCCAGGGAGAGGCTGATTTCTGCAGGAGAGTGGGGGGAGGGCAACGTGCCTTTTTTGGGGAACAATAGCCCCATGGGAATAGTTAACGAGACCCACTTTCCTTAGATGATAGTTTAGGGACCATCTTTCCTAACATGAGGATGCAGTGCACGTGTGTGCATGCACATGTGTGTTGGCTGGACTTATTACCACTCTCATCCCTACCTCAGCCTCTTTTCAGAGGTTGTTTTTTTTTTTCTCTCTTCTATGCACACACAATCCTTCCTGGCACATACAGTTGACCCTTGAGCAACACAGGCTTGAACTGCAAGGGTCCACTTATACATGGATTTCTTTCAATAAATACGGTACAGTAAATGTGTTTTCTCTTTCTTATGATTTCCCAAATAACATTTCTTTTTCTCTAGTTTACTTTATTGTAAGAATTCAGTATATAATACATAGAACATACTAATTGACTGTTGATATTCTTGCTAAGGCTTCTGGTCAACAGTAGGCTATTAGTAGTTAAGGTTTGGGGGAGTCAAAAGTTTTGGGGGAGCAGATTTTTGACTACGTGGGAGTCGGCACCCCTAACCCATGCATTGTTCACGTTGTTCAAGGGTCAACTGTATAATTTTCCCCATAAGATTTTATTCCCCGTGATGTTTTTCAACATTATTTTAGATTCCTGTATAGATTAGGGCCCCAAGCAACTGCCAGCCCACTCCACCCCTTAATTTGCCTCTGATCCCACTATATTATGCGTATAGGTGTATCAGTAAAACTTAGATCTTAGTAATTAGGGGGTTAGATGGAAAATGATAGGTATTTACCTTTTCACAACACGGTTTACAAGTCGTGTGCTTCCCAGCAGGAGTTGAGTTGTCAGTATTTTCATCTACCGATTGTCGATCAGCCTCATTTTTAGACCAGAACACAGACCTGTTCATTTTCGGAAAAAGTGTTACACATACAGATAATATAGATAATTATATAAATATCTCGCTGGTTTCATGGCGAAAGAGTTAGTGAAACCTACATTTGCAGCTGAATACCAGAAGCATCAGGAGCCTGACAAAGAATATCATTCTACTTTTTCTGGATCTCAGTTTTCCTCTTGGCTAGTTGAAGTATGGGGGTGTTCTTTAGGTGATTGATCTCCCCCCCCATATTTATATAATTTAGTTTTTGGTGTCATTCCATGTTTTGTTATTTGTCTTCACCTCTCCTCCTTCTCCTCATCCCTCTCCTGGCCTGAATAGAGTGATTTTCCAATAATTAAAGTAATAGTCTGTGTGGGCAGCTGCTGCTGTTCGCCTCTTCTGCCTCTTAAATCTGTCATCTTATTGTAAAGAGAAGCATTTAGAAATAGAATCGCCAGCATGACAACATTTTCCTCCTTCTCACCCTCCTGGGAAGTAAGAAGTAGCAGGTCTCTTAGGGCTGACTTTCACTTCTTTATCTTTGCCTAGAAAACCTCTGTGGGAGGGAAGGCTCCCAAAAAAGTCTAAATTCAGATGGAAATTCCCATGTTAATGTGGAATAAAGCAGAAGGTGGTGAGTTGTTCTCCTTTATTGGTCCGCTACACTTGCTTTTCTAATTGTGGGTTTCTTGTCTAAAGGAGGTGGTCCTTCCCTGCAGGGCTTCCTAAGCTCTGAGGCATATGGCCCCTGAAGAACAAGGAATAAATCACTCAACAGAAATGTTTTCAGATCCTTGGGTAGGAAATGAAGTCTGTACGGCAATATCCTCCCAGCACCTTTAAGAAAGACCCAGAAACTCCTAGGGGATGAGGATGACGTGTGTTTAGAGGGAGTCTAATATTTTAGAAGCTGCAATTAGCATCTCTTTTGAAAGCTGCAATTGCTCTCACTTTATGCAGCAGTTCAGCCCCCAGAAAAATGTAAAAATGATTTCCTTGTTCTGTCATTAAACGCTTTAACACAGAAAACAAGAGCAAATGTTAAGGAATTCTTCTGGTGGTGACAGAAAGCCGAGAAACCATCCGATTTTATTTTTATTTATTTGGCCTCTTCTGTGAGCCTCAAGGTTTCTACTGCCCAGGACAATGCACAAGGTTTCATTTTTATTAACCCACTTTTTGTTAAAAAAAAAAAATCAGTTTTCCTTCCCTGACATTCAGAGGAGTTTTCAAATGCTTAAGAAATGAGGGACGTGTGATTATGGTGTGGGTGGGGTGGAAGTATTTTATTAAATTGAAATTACTTGAGGTATCTGTCTTGAATATTTGCTCTGTTTTATTTTTAAAATGAGACTTGCCACTGAATTGCTATTCATCTCCACTGTCCTTACCTGACCCCTGAAGTCTGGGTTAGGTCGTGATGCCTTCCCCATAAGCTCTTCTATACCCTGCCTTGGTCTTAATCAATACTCCTCTCGCGCTGCATTTTACCCATCTGTTCACTTATCTGTATCCCCCACTAGACTGTAAGCTCTGTGAGGTCAGGGACTGTGCCTCTGTTTTCTGTGCCACAGTATGCCACAGTTGTATGCTCTGAGCATACAGTAGGCACTCGTTAAGTATTTCTCGAATGGATATATGAATGCTTGGGTGTTTAAATGAGTCATGTGTTAAGAGTTATTGCCTCCATTTTAAGGATGAAGAACTGGAGGGTTTGAGAGGTTAAATATTTTGGCCTAGGCCTAGATTGTATCACAAATATGTAGCAGAGGCATAATTTGCACCTAGGTCAGTTTGACTCTAAAAAGCATATTCTTTTGATTACATTATGTCACACATATACTGTGGTAGGTGTTTAAAAGACAGGGATAGCTAAAGGAGGCTCATTTTTTCAGGAGAGGTCAAGGAAAGATGTGAAGAAGGGATACCACTTTAGTTGGGCTTTGGAGGATGAATAGGAGCCTGCTGGGAATCTAGCCATGAAAACAGGAAGAGGAGAAATGGTCATTGCAGGCAATGGGAACCATATGACCAGAAGTGCAGCCTTGTACTTAGATTCTTAGGTTCTGAAGACACATAGACCTAGGTTCAAATTTTCTCTCTGCCATTTCCTTATGGTGAGTACTTTGGCAAGTTATTTAACCTTGCTGAGCCTCAGTAAAATGGGAATAATGGGAATGATAATAATCAAGGGCAGATCTAGGTTTTGTGCACCCTGAAGCTTATACAATTTGGTGGGACCTATGTAAGATAAAGAAGGCAAAATATGAATTTTTGTGAATTTTATATGACATAGGGCTGTGTACTTTGAAAGGAGTTTGTGTGACTATGGGGCCTTGAGGCTTATGGGGTAGTGATCATAGTGTCTTTGTAATAGGGTGGTTGTGATGATTAACTGAGGAGATAAATCATGTGAAGTAGTTTACCCTGTTGGCTTACAGATGGTGCTCAATAATTGCTAGCTATTATTGTTTTAAGAGCAGTGAGTATTCCAGTGTAGCTAAAGCCAGGGGAGGTCACCTGTAGTTGAGGCTGGAAAGTTAAGCTGAAGCCAGCGTCAGCTATCTGAATCTTGTCAGCAGACTGGCTTGATCAGATCTGATCCGATGAAGATAATTCTGGCAGTCGTGTGCAGGACAGCTCTCGGTGGAAACCCTGAAGGCAGGGAGACTGGTTTGAGTCCTATCTGCTGTCCTCTGTCCCTGCCTTAGCAGGTGTCCTTGGGTAAACGCTATGCTTGTTCAACGATTATTGCGTGTTTTACTATGCACAATAGTATTGATTGATGTTAAATAACCATACATGACCAACAGATCCACCATATATTTATTATTAACTTTTAAAT